AATCACACTTGCCATAGCGGCAGGATTTTTTTGGTTTCGTTCAAGGAGGCTAACTATTTCAGATTCATCCTTGTTGATGAACATGCTAAAATAAAAGATTGAAAGATTTCATGGCCAGGCAGTCTTCGTAATTGAAGAGAACACTGGAATCATCCTTTTCGATATATAAAAAAAACGATCACGCTTCAGTCCACTCAACCATCTCTCCCAGTTATTTCTGAAGGGTTATTATCTTTTTTATCGGTCATCAGCAAAATCTTGAAATTTAAGTTTGGAATTGTAACCATGAATGTTTTTGTTGAGGGAATTATAATTTGATCTTGGATCTATCCCTTCTCGTAATGTTGGATTTTTCTTCTCTGTCTAATGCCACTATCGACAATGAAAACTAATTCAATCGGGCAATACATATCCTTATCCCCAGCAATGTCAACTAATGCAAATGCAGAAAAACCATAAGTATCAAGGAAATTAACTCAGTTTTGAAGAATTACGATAGAGCCAGCCTTGGCATCAGGAAAACCAGCACAGAAAAAAGCAGCCTTGCTAACATAGATAATGAAAAAACACAGCACAAATCATTGTCCAAGCCGAAAATTGAAATGGAATGTGGGATGCTTTTGTAAAGAAAACTTGATGAAACCTGCCATTGAGTACTTAAACCATCAATATACCAAATTAGTAACACCTCTTGAAGTTAAATAGCATCGGCAAAGAACTTCAAATGAGTTATAGCTAATTCAATAGCAAAGTTGGGATCAGATGAATGGTTAGAAGATTACAATATGCCATTAGTCATGGTTAGAGAATTTTGGTGATAGTTGTTAAAATAATAATTAAGATTGAACATAAAAGGGAGGCTACAATTCTGAATAATCTGTGTATTATGAGTGCTTAACTTTAACCTAAATACATATAAAGTATATATAGGTTAAACTGAAAATGTTATTCTATCTTTAATAAATAAGATTACATAAATATTATTTAATATCTCCTCTTAAACTCACGATGCGGCAGCTACAAGCATCGAGAGTTTGCCAACCAGAAAACAAAAATGAGAGGTGGAATGCGCCTTGGTAAAGAAATCTGCAATCTGCAAGGAAGAATGAATAAAAGGCAAAGCAATGGTGCAATGTTTAAGATGATGATGAGTAAGATGACAATCGATCTTAATATGCTTAGTTCGCTCATGAAAAACAGAGTTGTGAGCAATCTGAATAGAACTCTGGTTGTCACAATACATAGGAGTAGGATGAGAAAAGAAAACTCCCATATAAGTACGTAATCAACGTAACAAAACAATCTTTTTCGTAGTAGATGTCATTGCATGATATTCTGCTTCGGTGGATGATTGAGAAATAATAGATTGTTTCTTGTTCTTCCAAGAAATAAGAGAATCACTTAAAAAGATACAGAACCCGGTAACAGATTTGCGATTTGTGGTATCACTACCATGATTAACATTAGAGTATGCACGCAACTCCAAGGAAGAGATGGATGAAAGTAAAAAACTCTGAAAAACTATACCCCGAAGATATCGTAAAATACAAAGAACATCTGCCCAGTGAATAGTAGTAGGAATCATGACTGCTAGAAACAAAGCCAAGAGATAAGATCACAATAAAGAATTTCTCAAACCAAGCACGGGGTGCTTGTTTGAGACCATATAATGCTTTATTAAGCTTACAAACATATCCAGAGTCATGTGAAATACCAGGAGGGGGAGCCATATAAACTTCTTTTTGAAGATCTCCATTTAAGAAGACATTTTTAACATCAAGCTGAGAAATATGCCACTGAGGAATCGAAGCTACGACAATAAGAGTACGAATAGTAATCATTTTTGCAACCGGGGTATATGTCTCCTCATAGTCCATACCATATTGTTGAGAATATCCTTTTGCAACCAGCCTTGCTTTGTATCGCTCAATAGACCCATCAAAATTAGTTTTAATTTTATACACGCAATGATAACCAACAACACTCTTACTAGGAGGTAGAGGAGCTAGATCCCAAGTATCTGTCTTATGCAAAGCAGAAAGTTCCTCATCCATAGTTTGCAACCAAAGTGGATCAAGAATTGCCTCTTTATAGGAAGAGGGCTCAAATAGACAATGAATAGAAGCTAAAAAGAAAGTAAATGATGAAGAATAACAAGAATAAGCAAAATCTGGTAGTTTTGTAGACTTACGAATGCGGATGGACTGACATGGAGGTGGATCTATAATCTCAGATGAAGCTTGAGGGGCTGTAGATGAGAATGGAGCTTCAGGTGTGCTAGAGAGTAAAGTACCAGTACCTGTAGAGTTATGAGTACAAATTGATCGAACATGGGGAGAGGTATCATTACCAGAATCCTCAGAAAAAGGATCTATACGAATAAGATCAGATTTAGTCAGGCTATGGGCAATGGATGAAATAGAAAAGAAAGGTATATGCTCAAGGAAGACAACATGACGAGACATATAAAGTTTCTGAGTTATTGGATCAAAACAACGATACCCCTTTTTACCTTCACCATAACCTAGAAAAACACAAATAGCAAATTGAGGGGATAACTTACTGCATTCTACATGAGGATAAAAAATGCAACAAGTACAACTAAATACTCTAAATGAGGAATAATCAGGGACATACCCATATAACTTTTCAAAAGGAGATAGACCCGAACTATGAGAAGATGAAATTGTATTAATCAAACTTACAACAGTAAGAACAACTTCTCCCCAAAACTCACTAGGAACAAAAGCAGACAACAAGAGAGAACGTGCAGTTTCAACAATGTACCTATGTTTTCTTTCAGCAACACCATTTTGCTCAGGAGTATCTATACATGAAGTTTGGTGGATGGTTTCATCTAAGGCAAACAATTGACAAAATTTATTAGAGGTGTATTCCCCACCCAAATCACACCTAAAGCATTTGATCACAATAGAATATTGAGTTTTGATAAGAGCTCGAAAAGATGCATATATCTCAAAGAATTCAAAATGATGTTTCATTAAATAAACCCAACAATAACGAGTATGATCATCAATAAAAGAGACATAATATCGAGACCCTCCTTTTGTGGCAACAGGAGAAGGTCCCCATACATCAGAATGAATCAAATCAAATGGTGAAGATGAAATAGAAATACTTTGATTAAAAGGTAAGGCGAAAAATTTTGCCAGTTTACATCCACTACAATCAGAAATGTCACAAGTTTTCAAATTTCCTAAAGCTCCTGTGGATGCTAAAAATCTCAAACGAGAAGATGAAACATGATCTAGAAGGGAATGCCATAAATAAAAACTAAAAGATGAAAGACTCAAATGAAAGGAAGACAAATCAACAGTATTAGTAGCAGCGACAACTAACACTTTTAACTCATCCAAAATATATAAAAAGATGAGGAATCTGGAGACATATGATGGGAAACACTAGAATCCAAGACCCATTCAGAGTGTGACATACCTGAGGAACTATGAGGCAACTGACCTATGGAAGAAGAAGCGGACATTACTTGTGGCTGCAAGGAGAGAAACTTTTGGAATTGCTCAACCAAAGTATTAGGATCAGTAATAGAGCCTGGGGAAGCTACCGCTGTAGTATTGTGGTGTGGTGGTTTATAACCCTGAGGTGGTGAGCATTAGATTGTGACTGACTGCCAGACTTCCAAGCTTGATTCTGCTGTCTCAACTTAGAACACTGAGCCTTCCAATGACCTTTCTGCTAACAGAAACTACACTCATCAAAGCCAACCCTTGTGTAAGGCTTGCTCTGATGATTGGAGAATGACTTAGAAGGTACTGCTAATACAAAAGGATTTGAAGCAAAAATAACACCCTTTTCAGAATAAGACTGAAGACGTATTTCTTCAGCCAATAACTCACTGACAACATAGTCAACAGAAAGTAGTGGAGAACGATGCAGAATTGAACCTCTAAGTCCTTCGAAATCACTACGAAGTGCTGTTAAAAATTGTACTAATCGTTGCTGCTCTCTACATTCAATATAAGCACCATATGCTTTTAATTCTGCCGATTCTGTAAGAGCCAATTGATCCCAAAGATCTGTCATGGCAGAATAGAACTCTTGAATGCTCATAATCTTCTGGTTAAGAGCTCTTATGTCATTCTCTAACTGATATTGTTTTGCAAAATTTAATTGCGTGAATAACCGTTGTAGATGATTCCAAACCTCCTTTGCTGTCTTATACTTCGCCAACTGTGTACCTATAAAATGCTCAACAGAATTGTTGATCCAAGTAATGATTTTTGCATTGTTTGCTTCCCATGCATCTATCGAAGCAGTATCTCCTTCTTCAGTATTCTTAGGTACCACATAAATTCCATTGACATATCCTCACATCTTCTCACCCTTAAAAAAATTTCTCATTACATAGCTCCAATACGAATAGTTCTTCCCATCCAACCTCACACTCACAAATTGAAGCGAATCATCTTTTTCAGTAGCCATAATCAACAATCACAGAAAACTAGAATGCAAAAGCAGCGGAAAACCAAATACCAAATTGCAGAAACTAAACAGAGATTACAGAAACTAAACAAATATCTTCTCAGAATTATATGATTACTCTAAAACACAAAACAAATTTACAGAAACTGAATGCAAATACCAAATTGCAAAAGTTAAATGAAAGATGAAATACCAAAATAATTGCAGAAACTAACGAAATACCCAATTTTGTAGAAGCGGAAGACAATATCTCACTCTAAAAAATTTGCAGAAACTGAATGCAAATACCAAGTTGGATCCGCAAAGCTGTGTTCAGGATTAAGCTTTGTTTCATAAAATCAACTCTGATACCATATTAAAATAATTAAGATCAAACACAAAAAGGAGGCTACAATTCTGAATAATCTGTGTATTATGAATGTTTAACCTTAACCTAAATACATATAAAGTATATATAGGTTAAACTAAAAATACTATTCTACCCTTAATAAATAAAATTACATAAATATTATTTAACAATAATAACTAAAAAAAGAGGATCTTGGTGCTTCATTAGCTACATAGAATTTTTGTTCCTAATTAAATAACATCACCATGAACATCTCTCCAATCTGTAGCCAGTGAATGTAACTATTAGCACCAGCTGAAGCCCACTACTGTCAGTGGAAATTAGTATTATGACTTCCCTAAAAACAAAGGATGCAGTGCCTACGGTGTGTGTGGGGGTTCGGGGTTTGCAGCACTGCTCCTTGGGGTATGATTGTCATGCGCTTGATCTCCAATGATGTCTCCAGATCCTTCACTGGAAGTCCTTGAATGGCCACGTGCATCATCGATATGAGGTGAAGCTCCAACTATTTCAGCACTTGGTACAGGGTGAACTCTTGACTCAGCTCTATTAAGATGATGAGCTGATGGATCTGCCTTGTCAAAATGTTTTGCCAATTCAAGAACTCTCGAGTAAAAGGATCTTTCTCGATCCATGGTGTTCGAAGCAGGCCAATGAATGTAAAGGAACTTCGTGACATATATCAGAAGTGCAGACATGGAAGCAACTCCTGTGATGATGAAGAGGCCTCCGAAGCTGGATAAACCAAGACCACCAGAGGTTAGCATGGCAGCTTGATCTAAGCACGTGGCTTCGCCACCAAAGTTCCTTCGTTCAATTTCTTCCATTTTATCTTTATCTTGTGTGACTTTCAAGATTGCCCTTGAAATGTAAGGGACCAATGGGGATCCAAGGGGAAATGCCTGGCATCAAAACAAAATCCCATTGATTATAATGACATCTGGTAAGATTTAATGGTCACTTGCAAGAATTGAGCAGTTCAGCTCTATGCTTAAGGAGCTAGCTAACGACTGCCAAACAAATATGCCTTGAAAATATGCTGAGGGATTGCCTGTGAGAGACAGACAGGGAGAGTGAGACTCACAAAGCCAAATCCATCGGTTTTGTAGGTTGGTCCTACCATTTGGAATTTGGAGCAATACTTTGCTAGAAAGCGTTTGATGTAGGGAATTTCAGCAAAGATAGCAGCTACACCATCATTGTAGATTCCATTAGACAATGCATCATGATACTCTTCTGGAGTGCTATATTCCCTCAACACGGTGTCACTGAAGTTCAATTGTTTTACGAGGAAGTCTTTCACAAAAGAATTCTTCTGGTGCCCTACAAAGTAACCATTCTTTCTAATCTCTTTGACATCAACAAATGTAGGCTGCAACCGCTTTACAGTCAAAATTGAGGCTAAGCTAGCAGTGTAACTCTGTGATATGATTAGCACCACAAAAATCCATATGATCAATACAAATCTTGTCCAGTTATTCACCACCTTCTCCCCTGAAAACATAAGTTTTGCTCTATAGTAACATGAACTTACTTGCAGTTGTCAGAAAATTAAGAAATGGAAAAATTAGTCTAATCAAGTTAAAAGAGAAATTACTATGTGCAAAGAAGAGGGTTGAAAAGGAGAACCACAACGTTGTCCCAAGTTATTGAGCTGGTTTTCCCCTGAACACTTTGTTTTCACGGTGTTCGAGCACCCACACCACTAAGCCAGTGAAGATGAATGCTATTCCAGTTGTTAACCAAAGCTCCGGGCTTAGTGGCTTCAAGAAAATCCACATGTTTTCCCTCTCATAACGTTTTGTCAAAACTACCATTGTGATGCCTGATTCCGAAAAAGGCAACGTAAAATCAACATATGTTGAGCGATCGGCAGTTATTGTTATATCTCCCACCACAGCATCAAAATTCTGCAAGACAATTAATGAAGACAAGTTTATCTTTCTCCAGAATTTCATTTTTGCATGCAGGAAAAAACTGAAGTAGCATCATTTTTGCATACAGGAAAAAACTGAAGTAGCATAACACCAACCTTTAGTTTGATTTGGTCAAGAAGTTCATTGTAAGTCCCAGCACTATCCTTATTTTTGTTGACGAAGGCAATGAACTCATACGGAAGGGGGAATGGTAATGCTTCAATCACGGAGACGAAAACATCTCGGGTGAAACCTGAAACAATAGGTTTACCACTTTCAGGATTCCATTCCACTTTGATATAAACTCATGAAAACCAGTTCTCTGTGGAACCCCTATCCTCAAACTCTTTGGCTGCTGGGTTGTGTCTCCTGGCCAAATTGGCTCCTTCAGTCTGTCTTTGGAAGTTGAATATGCTATTTTACCTTTACTATGCAAGTTTCGTGAG